TTAAAAAGACAAGGAAGAAAGAAAAGACCAAAATAGATACCAGAAACTCTGAAACTAGCAATTGACCATAGAGCAGCTAAAACAAATGGAATTCCGAAATGATGAAGTAAAAGAGCTAAACAGAAGATTTCAAAGGGTGGCACAGGAAGACAAAATAAAGTATTATAATGAAATGTGCGAGGACCTGGAGTTAGAAAATCAAAATCAAGAATACACTCAGCCATTTCTCAAGCTGAAAGAAGTAAAGAAAAAATTCAAGCCTCAAGTTGCAATACTGAAGGATTCTATGGGCAAAACAATGAATGATGCAGGAAGCATCAAAAGAAGATGGAAGGAATACACAGAGTCACTGTACCAAAAAGAACTGGTTGATGTTCATCCATTTCAGGAGGTATCATACAATCAAGAACCAACAGTACTGAAGGGAGAAATCCAAGCTGCATTGAAGGCACTGGTGAGAAACAAGGCTCCAGAAATTGACAGAATAGCAATTGAGATGTTTCAACAAAAGGATGCAATGCTGGAAGCACTCACTCACCTATGCCAAGAAATCTGAAAGATAGGTACATGGACAACTGACTGGAAGAGATCCATATCTGTGTCTATTCCAAAGGTGATCCAACAGAATACAGAAATTATCAAACAGTATCACTAATATCATATGCATTAGTAACACAGCAAAATTAAATTTTGCTGAAAATAATTCAAAACAGTTCCAGAAGGACACAAAGTGATCTGCCAGTAATTCAAGCTGGATTCAGAAGAGGATGTGGAACGAGAAGAGGATCTGCTGATGTCAGATGGATGCTGGCTCATAGTAGAGAACACCAGACAGATGTCTGTGTTTTATTGACTATGCAAAGGCATTTTACTGTGTGGCTCATAGCAAATTAAGGATAACACTGAGAAAAATGAGAACTGCAGAACACATAATTGTGCTCATGAGGGACCCGTACACAGACCAAGAGGCAGCAGTTCCAACAGAACAAGGGGATACCATATGGTTTAAAATGAGGAAAAGTGTGGTTCAGGGTTGTATTCTTTCGCCATACTTATTCAATCTGTATGCTGAGCAAATAATCTGAGAGGCTGGACTGTATGAAGAAAATTGTGCCATCGGGATTGAAGGAAGACTTACTAACAAACTGCGATATGAAGATGACATAACCTTGCTTGCTGAAAGCAAAGAGGATTTGAAGCACTTATTGTTGAAGATCAAAGACTACACAGCCTTCAGCATGGATTACACCTCAACATAAGGAAAACAAAAATCCTCACAACTAGAGTTGCAACTGGGGCCTTAAAGGCTTGTGAGCAATCATCTAAGGTGCAACTATTGGTCTCTCCCCGTCCAAAGTAAAGAGTGAAGAAAATCAAAGACACAAGTAACAATTAGTCTAAAGCACATGAATCCCAGCCTCCATAACCCTCAGACCAGAAGAACTAGACAGTACACAGAGACCACTGCTGTCTGCTATATAGGGTTCACAATAAGAGGTCCCAGATAGAGTGGGGGAAAATGTGCACCAAAACTCAAAATCATCCTGGTCTGATGAAGACTGCAGGAACCCCAAGACTATGGTGTGGCCCTTACACACCAGTCAAGCTAGGAAATGAACTTAATCCCTGGGAATTAACTGCTAGCCAAATGATAGCCCTATAAAGTGAATAGTAATACCAGGAGGGTATGCACTTATTAGAACAATCAAGCATATGAAATCAAGAGGACAATATTTGCCCAGGGATAGAGCTAGGAAGCTAGGGAGTGGATGGAAGAAAGGACGACAGGAAGGGGTGGGCAGAGGGAAGTGAGAAGAATGCTCTTACAGTGGGGATTACAGAATATGTCACAAAACAGATTGTTGAATAGCAAACTAATTTGCTCTGTAAACTTTCACCCAAATCATAATTAAAAAAAAAAAAAAATCTCACAACTGGACCAATAAGCAACACCATGATTAATGGAGAAAAGACTGAAGTTGTCAAGGATTTAATTTTACTTGGATCCAGAATCAATGCCCATGGAAGTAGCAGTCAAGAAATTAAATGGCATACTGCATTAGGCAGATCTGCTGCAAATGACCTCTTTAAAATGCTCAAAATAAAAGATGTGACTTTGAAGACTAAGGTATGCCTGACCCAAGCCATGGTATTTTCAATCCCCATATACATGTGAAAGCTGGACAATGAATAGGAAAACATGAAGAAGAATTGATGCATTTGAATTAAGGTGTTGGCAAAGAATATTAAATACACCATGGACCGCAAGAAGAGCGACTAAACCTGTCTTGGATGAAGTATAGCTGGAATCTTTCTTAGAAGTGAGGATGGAGGGACTTCACCTCATGTGCTTTGATCATGCTGTCAGGAGAGACCAGTTCCTGGAGAAGCATATCCTGCTTGGTAAAGTAGATGGTCAGTGAAAAAGAGGAAGACCCTCCTGAGATGGATTTACACAGTGGCTGTAATAATGGGCTCAAGCAGAGCAAGGATGTGAGAATGGCGCAGGACCAGACAGTATTTCTTTTTGTTGTATATAGGGTCACTATGAATCAGAACCAGCTCAATGGCACCTAACAAAAACAAGGGACCTAAAAGTGGGGACAAGAAAAGACATATGTACTCCAATGTTCACTGCAGCACTATTCACAATAACAAAAAAATAGGAACATACATAAAATGTGGTACATACATACTATGGAATATTGCTCAGCCTTAAAGAAAAATGAAGTCCTAACACATGCTACAAAACGGATGAACCTTTCAGACACTACGCTGAGTAAAATAAGTTAATCACAAAACAAAAAAAATATTATATGGTCCCAGTGATATAAAATGACAAAAACAGCTAAACATGCCAATGGCTATTAGTGGGTTTTAGGGGTGAGAGGGGGAATGGAAATCTTTCTATGAGAAGTACTGAATCTTTATGGTGATGGGAAAATTGGCATCAACTAAGCATAATGGTTATACAAACTGACTACTGCAACTGCTATCACTAAGCTATACACTAGAAAAAGGTTTAAAAGGGGAGATGAAATGACAAATAAAATGCTACATTTAATTTTACAACAGTATTAGCAGTCTTCCCCCCACCCCCACCCCCAAAAAAAGCATACAGCTGTTGACACTACTAGAGTCAAATAAACACCTCATGGGATTAGTTTTCTCGGTTCAAGGGTTTGTGGTAGTAGTTTCATGAGCCTGTCCAGTCAGTTGGCCTAGTATCATTTTTAGAGTTTCTACTGTTTCTCCTAGTTCAGCAGGTAATGAATGCCTAGAGTCTTAAGAGCTTGTGAATGGCCATCCTGGAGCAATAGAGAAGTAAGATGATCTAAGAATTAGAGAAGGAAATTATGAGACCAGAATAAAGGGATGGTGCCTAGCTACCAATACAGAATGTTTTCATCAGGGAAGCAAAAGATGGATCTTGATTAAAAGGAGGAAAATTGTGGAATGAAACTTCAAATTCTTACTAAACTTACAGAGGGACACTCGAATCTATTGCCTGAAACAACTTTTGAACTCTGAGCCAAGAAACCATTATGAAGTCATCTTTAAACTAAACACTTCAGCTCAATAAATGTCTGCTTTTTAGCATTGCACCCCATTGAAGAATTACTTACATGAACTAGAAATGAAAACAGGAACTCTAAAGCACAAATGAGAACTTTAAGGGGCAGATTGTATATGCTAACAGTAGGCAAACAATAGGGGCAGTAACAGTGAGAATGGTGACACAGTATGAAGTATGTAACCACTGTCAAGTAATTGTAAATGAAAAAAATTGCTGAATGGGTGTATGTTGTGTTGTGCATAGTTTCAACTTCTTCAAAGTCTTTAGGAACTAGTGTTCCTACCTCAGTTAAGGTAAAGAATTTTTCAAGTATTCATTCACGATATTAACAAGTATTTATTGAACACTACTATATGCCAGACACTGCATTTGGCCTAATCTGCTTTTGTGATTAATTCTTGGTTCTCTTCTAAATTGTAGTCTCAATAGACAAATACATGTCTGGTTAGAGCATACAGTTCATATATGTATTCCAGCAATTAGCATAATGCCTAGATCTTAGTGAAAACATTTACTGAATTGTGTACTGATGAAACACCAAGACAGGTTGAATACAAACGCAGTATATTCACATTAAGAAAAACCTCCCTGGCCAATTTTCTCTGCTAGCCCATGCCACTAATGTCAGAATGAGATGGCTCATTAAAATCTGTCATTTCCAACAAAACACTCTTCTAAACATACATCCTTCAGATAACATTTTCCTTGGACACATAAAAAACAAGGCAGGCATGCTCTTAAGCTACAAAAGGACCCTAAACAATGTCAGGAATAGATCAAATTTGAAGGCCTTTCAATAAGGTGCCCAAAAGATGGAAAACTTGAAAGATTCACAAGCACACTATTTTCCCTATACTAATCTTGATATTAACTTTCAAGGTTATTGTTAAAGCAGCAACATCAAGAAGTAACAGAAATGAGGAACAAAAGAAGTGAAAGGAGAATATACATGCTGAGGATAAGCAGCACTTCAGCTGAGTCTGAGTGGAATGTTCTCAATTACTGCAAATTTCCAGAATAATCTGTGTGTCTCAAAAGTTAAGATGGGCAAGGTCTGGCCACTACAATTCACCGTTATGTCAGCAGCATTGTTCCCTTCTTGAAAAAGTCCAAATAAACATCCTGCCTGCTGCTTTCTCCAGGTGCCGCTCACCCTTTTGGTTATATTCCTTTGAGTCTGGATTTTCGGGGGCGGGGGAATCAACAAGTATTTAGGAGGAGCCTAGAGAGAACTTTTCACCCCTAGCCGCAGCCCACGATCCTCCCAGGGGAACTGCCAATGGACCGCAGCCCGGACCGACTGGCGGAGGGGCGGGCGGCCACGCCCGGATGCGCGGTAGCATAGGTCCAGGCCGGACCGCCAGTAGGCCACACGCTCTGCTGGGGCAGCCCCGGCGCGGGGCAAGGTGCAGCCGGGCCTCACCTCCACTGCCTGGCCCAGCTCCAGGTCGAAGCCCACCACACACACGCAGTGCAGCCAGGCAGAAAAGCCGTCCCAGCGCAGCAGGCCCCGGCAGCGGCCCTCGTCCTCCTCATCCTCCTCTGGAGCGACTCCCGCCGCCACCATGGACGGACCCTTGTTGTCCTCCGCCGCCGCCACCGCCACCGCCTCGTCCAACGGCCCGCGGGAGCTGGGCCCCAATCCGGCAAGGCCTGGCAGAGCCATCAGCCACCCCCTCGATATTCGCACCGCCTACACTGCGGACCGCGCTGCAGAGCGCGCTCCGCTCCGCGCAGGCGCAGCCGCTGGTACCGCAGCCGCCCGGGACGGACTCCGCTGGGGTGGAGACGCGGCCCACGTGACCCTGGGAGCTCCGCTGTGCGCGGTGCTCTCGGGCCACCCGTGCAGACGTGAGAATGTCACGCTGGCGTTTGGGATTCTTAAGCAGCCTCTGACGTCTTTATTTTTAAGCTCTTCAAAAGTGAAATTGGTTTATGAATCCTTGTCACCATCGTTCGCAGTCCAGTCACCAGGGGATGACTTTTTCTTGAAAGAATGTGGTCTATTATTAAATGATGAAAATATAAACCAAATTGTTCTGTAAACTTTCACTCAAATCACAATAAAAAATAAAAACAACAATAACAATAGTAATGGTGGCTAGCAATTATTGAAGACTTAGGCTCTGTCAAGTGACGTGCCAGGTACTTACAAACATTACCTCATAGAATCCTTACATCACATCTTAACACCATGGCTAGGAGGTAGATATTTCAATTTGCAGATATGAAAACTGAAGTTTCGAGAGGCACTAGCTCAACAAGTATTAACACCTCCCAGCAGGTTTACAGTTCACTCACACAATCTGCTGACTCAGAGATGTGTGCTTTCACTCAGAGATTTTCTCTCCACCAAAGCTCCTCCTACCTTTCTTCGCTGGTTGCCCATGACTCACTCAATTTACCTAGACCTTCCTGAAACTGCAGGTTGGGCAGGTTGGCCTATATAACACCCTGCAGATCACTCTCAGCACTGTGACAAGGGCCTTTGTCTCTTGCAGTTTTGTTCTCGGAGATAAGCAGTGGGCTGGGCACCCACAAGGCATTCAGTCTGTTGAATTGTTACTGATTATTGATCAACATAAAGAGCCCTGGTGGTGCAATGTTTATTTACTAGGCTGCTAACCCAAAAGCCATGGGCCATTCGAACCCACCAGCCTCTCCACAGAGAAAGATGTGGCGGTCGGATTCGGTAAAGATTTCTCACCGCCGTTGAGTCGGATCCCACTCATAGCGACCCCTCCTTGGGTTTCTGAGGCGGTATGGCTACAGAAGTAGATTGCCCAACCTTCCTTCCGAGGATGGCTGGTGGGTTTGAACCGCCAGCCTTCTGGTTAGCAGTCAAATACCTTAGGCACTACTCCACCAGAGCTCCCCCATAAAGATTTACAGCCTTAGAAACCCTATGGGGCAGTTCTACTCTGTCCCATAAGGTAGCTATGAATTAGAATCTACTCCAGGGCACACAACAGTCAGCAAACTAAGACTAGGATTTATTACACACCCACTATGCTGAGTAAAAACAGCATAATAAAAATAAGTGGGGACACACAATAATACCCCAATACGAAAATGGATGTCAGTTGATATTAACTCACAGTTAAATATATATATATATATATATATATTAAATACAGCCTTTACACATACTATCATACGTAATCCTCCCAACAGCTCAAAAAAGGAAGGTGGTATTATCATTCTCATTTCACAGGTAAGGAAACTGAGAGTCTATGAGATGACAATGTCACAGCTAGTAGGTAGCAGAAAGAGATTTTAAACCCAGGGCTCTGACACAGCTTGGGCTTATTTTGCAGTACTGCCCAGACAAATTCACCCTATTTGACAAACATTGTCCTCTCCACATCCTTAGGAATTTAATTTGGAGTAAGTGTTAATATCCCTACTTTCAAGGAGTAGGTAATTAAACACAGACAGCAGTAGTGATACTTTTGAAGTCTCTCTTTAGAGCATAAAACGAACTGAGAACAGCACTAAAGTTAGAGGCCAAGTCTTTGGTCAAAGCAGCTTGCCATTTTGCTCCATTGAACCACTGTAGTTAAGAGAGAAAATGTGTATTCTGCATTTAAGTAAATCTCTAAACACACTATTAGAAAAGAAAATAGCCAATTGTGTTAGAAAGAGCACTAGACTAGAAGTCAAAAAATTTGGATTCTAGAGCCAGTTCCACCCATGATCATGGCTGCAAACTGTTCCAAGACCTAGTTTCTGTATTGGTAAAACAGAAATGACTCATTTCACCTATAGTTGGAAGGAACCAAGCTATGCCAATGCACACAGTTTACTAGATGCTACTTCATTATTAATGATTAATGTAATTTAAAAACCAGTCATTTCACAGGGCTGGTTCTTTGGAATGTGGGCATAAACTACCATTCTCTGACTTGCTGGTTTATAATTTTGGATTAAGGGTAATCTTGTTAAAATATAGTCCCCTGAAAACAACAGACATTTTATGAGAAAGGCATGACCAGGGCTCTAGAGAATTTTGAAAGTTAAAAAACAAATTTTTTGAAAAAAAAAATTTTCGTTCAGTCTGTTTAAAACACACACAACACCAACAAAAACAGAAAAATGCAACACCAGTTCTCAAACCTTGATACACAGAATTCACAACCAGCAGGGAAAACAGAAAGTTCCCATAGTTTTATCCCTCTGAGAGAAAAAAAAAACCCAAAAAACTAACCTTTCTTTCCTTTCTAAATTTTCATCATTAGTGTCTGTGAATCCGAAAAGATCCTGGCTACAATTGGTTATAGCTCCAAGCCTCCCATCTTACTCATGAATATTCTCTAAAACTCTGAAATTTGGTCAGACATCCTGCATTCTAATACTTCTGACTAAGGTGAAGTCACTACTTTGCAAAGCTGCTATTTTATGGATGTTCATAAGGGCTAGAAAATTCTTCCTTTTGTGAAGACAAAGTCAGCCACTTTGTAATATACGCCCATTGGTCTAAGTTGTGCTTGCTGAGATTACACAGAAGAGTTCATTCAACTCTTCTACATGATAGCCCTGTGAATATTTGAAAATGGTGGCCCCACAACCCCATTTTTTTCTAGTGTCCAGGGGAAACTACCCCAGTTCCTCCAACCGTTCCTCAAAGGAGGTAGTTTCTAGGCCATTCATCATGCTGTTGCCCATCTTGGGAGTCTCCAGCTTGTCAACATCACCCTTAAAATGCAGTGCCCAGGAGGAAACACCATCCTCCAGTTGTGATCTCACCACTGCAGAGTGTACTCTGGGACTATTACCTTCCATATCCCAGCCACTAGGCTTCTACTGATGCAGGTTCAGATCACATTTGCTTGTTTTGGCAGCCAGGTCACACATCACTGGCTCAGGTTTCATTTATTGTCAACAAAAGCCCTGGGTCTTTTTCCATATGAGGAGCACTTAAGTCAGAGTAGTCTGCTTCAGCCAAGAGCATGACTGGATTCATGGCTCTGTTGTTCTAATATTACTAAATGCAGCAAACTCAGGATTAAAAACATTCCAAACTTCCCTACTCAGCCCTAACCTAACTCCTAACACTTCAGTAATTTTTATAGTTTAGGGGAAAAAAAGAGAAAAAGAAACGGGTGAGCTTTAGACAACGCTGTGAATTACAATGTCTCTGGACTTCATTTTGTCAAAAGAAGGTAAGAGAAGAAGCTCAAATGCCACAGATAACTACCTAACTAGGCAGCCAGGACTGCCTTCTTACACTTGAGCTAAACACTGCCAGAGCTCCTGGGATATAACTACACTTGGGATGGCAAGAAAATACACAGAGGAACACAAAGATACCCATGTGCCCACGTGTTATCAACAGAATATTGATACCATATCTCCAAGAGACAAAATGGCCAAATGCAGCTTTTTAAGAGAGGATCTAGCAAAATAACACTATAAAATGCACATCAGGAGCTTCCTAAATAGTGCCTGTGAAAGCAAAATAAATAAATAAATAAAAAGTCAAAAGCTTTGTTTCTTCATCTTTACTTCCCTAACATCTACACAGCTCCTAGCACATTGTTGGCACTCAGTAACTGCTGCTGTCCTATTCCCCTATTTTATAGATTTTTCTTATCATGGTCAGTTGTGTCAATGCACAAAACATCAACATAAAAATGTTTCTTAAAGAATAAATGGAAAGGGGAAACACAGGGAGAAAGTGGGAAGAGTGCTGTTAGATTGTGGGAATGGCAATCAGTGTCACAAAACAAAATGTGTATGAATTTTTAACAGAAAACCAATTTCCTTTGTAAACTTTCACCCAAATCACAATTAAAAAAAAAATTATTCGGCTACAAAAAAAAAAATGTTTCTTAAATGGAGTTCACTCTTAGCTTATAAAAGTAAAAACAGTAACACTTCACTTTTTTGAAGGTTACTTTTTCAACAACTTCAGCTGTTGGCTCAGTTAATACCAGGGTGTATGTTTCATAGGCCTACTAGAATCCAAAATGCAAAATAGAGCATTTAACCAGTAAAGTTCATGCTCTTTAAACTGAGACTTTCATTTATAAATCATTTAGTCTAAATTTACATATATTTTAACAAATTTGTTTGTGCGGTTTCCCAGACTGTAAGCAGAAAATTAGAAGGAAGAAGAGGCTGCTTAAGGCTGAGCAGGACAAGAACAGAAAACAAAAGGTGGTATGTCGATAGAATGGAAAGAAAAAAAAAGAGTCAGAAAACATAAACAAGTTCAGAAGGACACCCAGTAAATTTTTAACAATGTTTGCCCTATGGGGAACGGTAGTACAAATAGAAATAGGGAATTTTGCTTTTTTAAATTTTATACAATTTCCTCCTGTTTTAATTCTTTGCAGACAGTACGGACTGATTTTGTTATTGAAGCATTAAGAGATAACAAGAGTGTAATAGAGCTGCTTATGATAGTAAAAAATTGGAAACCACCTAAATGTCCAACAACAGGGGCTTGATTGAAAAAACACTAATAGACTATTGTGCAGTCACGAAAAAAGCCACAGAAATATATTTGGTGACAGAAAAATGTCCAGTATATATATCTGAAGCAGAAAAGAGTTGATTACAGCACAAAAATGCTGAATGCTAAATGATCCTGTCTTTATATTTAAAATAATAATAATAACAAAAACCAAACTCACTGGGTCAAGTCAGATTCAACTCATAGAGGCCCCTCTTTGGGTTTCTGAGGCGGTATCTCTACGGAAGTAGATTGCCCAA